TAGCTTCAGCAAAGCTCTACTCCCCGACATGGTGAACGTCAATGGAACAAAAAATTATGGTGCCAGTTTTTTTAACAATACTCGCTGGATTTGGATTTTGACCGAAAAAAAGGAATTTCGTCCGAGATTCGCCCGTTTCGTTTGGACCAGGTATGAGTACAGACCGCTCGGACACAAAACAGAGGTAGTGATCAAAATTACTTGTCAGTGTAGTAGTCAGGCACACACTATATATGACCAGTACTAAATCGCTGCCAGCTTCACAACTATGCCTGAGAAAGAAACATCTCCAAACAAAGAGCCTGAGCGACCTGAGGCCAAAAGTAATAGGATCAAAGTGTATACCGAACATGAAAGATCAAAATATTACGCTATAGAAGAGAATAACCGAGCTAACCATTTCAACAACCAAACCACCATAACTTCTCATGAATGAATAAACATTTCAAACTGCAATTGAACCACCTTCACTTCTCATGAATGAATTAATATTTCAAATTGCAACAGTGCCTTTCATGCTTTTCAACATTGCAAACAAACTGAAAAGTAAACACGGGAGAACAGTACAACAGTTATAAAGCATAGATACTCCATTGTTCAGAACATTAACATGGTGTTCAACTGTTCAAGATAGCTTCCTCCATCCTAATAGTTCAGTTCTACTACGAATTAGTAAGAACAAATAACAAAAGACATGGCATGTATGGGATAGAACACTCCAGCGGCACGGCAAGCCAGGCATCTTATAGAAGTATGATGAACCGAGGCTCGGCATCTTCTTGTTGCGTCTCAAACAATGGAAGTGAAATCATGCTCTCTTGGAGGGGATACCCGGTGAGTGACAAGCTGAATTGACGCTCTACCCTTTCCACATTCCCTAAGAACACACCGTCAACGTCACAATGCAACAAACAGTCAGGATAGTGCTTGATCAACAGCTCACGCTCGTCGATTACGGCCACGCTACGGATACCTTTCACCTCCAAATTAAGCGGTGGCAGTGCCTCCATCTCTAATAAGTTAATCCGGTTCCGCAAGCTCCAGGTCTCAGCATCATAGTCCTGCAACACCCAAACACCTATCTCGCCGTCACCTGTGAGGTGATACAAAGCAAGATCGCCGGCCATGTCCAACAACGAAAGCGTATGCACCAACTGTGTTGGGCGGCTTATCTTCCGGAATGTCTCGGTTATGGTGTGAGAACTAGGCTGTAGCCTAGTGGCAAGGGAGCGCAGTGGCGTCTCCAGCAACCAGGGTTCGAGCCACGTCGGGGACGAATTTCTGGTTTCTCACAAGGGATGCTTCTCCTATATCAATAAACCATGGGTGCTAGTGCCCATGAGTTTTATCTCGGTTATGGTGTCGAATACCGTTATGTCAACGTTCAGTGCCCAGTGCAGGCAACCATGATGGTGGACTGGTGAACGACCGGGGTACCGGCTAACAAACTGAAACCAACTTTCTGAATCTTCCGGCCATTGGATGCGTCTTGGAGCCCACGGCGAGGACGAAGAAATCAGGGGACTGAGATGCATGGTGATATTCTAACATCCAGATCACCGGGTGTT